TGATATTCAGACAGATAGTGAGGTTAAGCTCAACAGCCTAGGTTGTATGGTAATAACAGTAAGCTTCTCTTCTGGATGGTTAACAACCTAAGTTTGCAGACCAAAAATTAAGAGAAAATGGAGGGCCGCAAGGAAAGCCAACATTTTGGCCTTAGCCTTCCAAGGTCAATTAAGATTCATGACACATGAGAACTTGTACTGTAACGTCATGTAACTCAGTAGTGTCACAAATTTTCTGATCAAGGAGATTATGGGCCAAAGAGGAAAGAGATTGATGATATTGAGTGTGCCTAAGGAGAATCACATGGAGAGAAAACATTCTCTCAGGCTTTCACAGAGGGCAAATTGGCCAAGCAATGGCTGTGACTCATCCACATGGCTGACACTGACAAAGGATCTACAATGTGAAGTACAGGGTCTCAGGATAAATCCTGAGAGGATTTTACTGCCTTATGTGATCCAAAAGCTACAATTCTTGTTGCATATGTCTTGCTTTATCTTGGTCTCAACCATCCAGCAGAAAAGTATAAAAACGAAGTATAAGAAGTAAAACCATGTTATTATGTTGAGCTGTAGGGGACTCAGGTCAACAACTTCTGACATTTCCAGTCGAGCGGAAGACCCAATACTATTACGGACTACTGGACTATTTTGGAATATTTTGCTGAGTTCACACACTTATAATATTTAAATGATGGAACGAAACAAAAAAAGAGGATACAGATGACTGTCCACTTTGTATCTATGTATTCAAAATGGTTAGGATAGATATATAGGTACATTCTCTTAATTCAATGAATAGAGGGAATTGTTCCAATAGTGTTTGTAAATAGGATATCATGTCTCCATCTTGTACAATAACAACTAAGAAGACAATATGCAATGTATTAATTATTGAAACTGTCCTATCAATTTGATTTGAAACTCTCTCATTGCTATTTGTTTCTCATCAAAATTATGGAAAAGAAAAAAAAGTCAGGTATTTACATACAATGAATTACTGCTATGTCACTAAAAGGATAAACATCAATCACTTATAGCTTGAGAAGATAATGTTAAATAAAATAAATGAGACATGGAAGTTTAAATATGGCATGGTTTCTCTTCTGAGAAATTCAAAATATAAAGAGCAAAATAAAGATAATGGGAAAAGACAGAGCTTTTGCAAAACTCAAGGGGACAGCCTGGTGTGGTGGTGCACACCTCTAATCCAAGGACTTGGCAGTCTGAGGCAGGAGGATCATTGCGAGTTCAAAGCAGGCTGGGTTACATAGTAAGGTGAAGGCCAGCCTCAACTGCCTAGCAATACCCTGTTTAGAAAACCAACTACACAAAAACTTTAAAAAGCAAAGTGTATCAAGAGATACATGGAAGGGAAAAGGAAAGGGATAAAAAAGGTGTTCTGTACATACACCAACTTCTCAAAAAGAGTGTAATCAATATGCACTGTATGTATGTACTAATTAAAAATAAGACTAGAAAAAAAAGGAAAACCCTTCAAAAATGCTTAAACATTATAAATTTAGAAGCAGGCAGTAGATCTATTTTCAAAAAAAGACATACAAATGTTCAAATGAAATACAAAAAATGCTCAGTATTATTACTCATCAGGGAGATGCAAATCCAAATCACAATGAGCTATCACCTATCACTTCACTCCAGTAATAATTGCTATTAGCAAAAAGACTAAAGAGTACCGGAGATGGAGCTCAGAGGGAGAATACTACAAAACAGTGTGAAGCCCTGAATTTGATTCTCAGCACTAAAAAGTAAAGAGAATAGGTACTAACAAAGGTATACAAAAAAGGGAACACTTAACTGTTAGTAGAGATGAAAATTACTGAAAACAGAATGGAAATCTTTGAAAAATTAAACCACTATATAACCAAGCAATCCTACTACTGGGCATATAAACAAAGAAAATGAAATCAGCATGTTGAAGAGATGCCGACACTTTCATTGTGGACTATTCACAGTGGCCAAGAAATGGAAACGACCTCAGTGTCCATCAACTGATGAGTGACTATAGTATATGTGTACGATAGATATTATTTAGCTTTCAAAAATAATGAAACTTTGTCATTAGTGGCAATATGGATGGAGCTGGAGATCATTATGTTATGTGAGGCATAAAAGAGGAACAGTGAGTGAGCTCTGTGTGACATCTAAAACAGTTGTTCTCTTAGAAGCTGATAGGAGCAAGATGGTTACTGCAGGTTGGGGAAAAAAGATAAAGATACACATGGGGAAAGGTTGATCAATGGATACAAGGAGATAGAAATAAAAGTTGTGGTGTGGTATTACTGAGATGGGGTCCTAAATATAATAATAATGTACTGTACATTTTAAAAGCTTAGTCTACAAAACAAATTTGAAAGTTTTCACCATAAACAAATGATAAATGCTTGAGGAAGAGACTCACTTAGCTTCATTATATCACTGTACAATGTATGCATACATTGAAACATCATCTTTAACACTATAAATATGTACAATTTTTGCTTCTATATACCATTTAAAAATAAATCTTTCTTGCTGTAAATATTTAAATACAAATTCTGTTCATTTCCAGATAATAGCAACTAAATAGAAAATTAAAAGAATAAATTGTCTTAAATTCTTACAGATTAAATCATGTAAGATCAGACTACTGTCATTAAGTTTCAAAAATACACTTAACTTTTAAAGCATTACCTTGTCATACCTCTTGAGTGACAGGCTTAATAAATCACATAAAAGATTTTCACAATGTTCTTCAAATAGGCTGACATTTGTTAAATTGTCACCTGTCAGACCAATAAACTGATGACCATATACAGCTTGTTCTGAAAATATAATGAAATATATTTCACTTTAAAAGTACATAACACTTTACTTGAAGGAGGGGGAATAAGTGTTGACCTTTAATTGTGATATAAGTAACATATACAGTTAAAAAAATTATCTAAATAAAAGTTGAATTTGACAGCAATCACTTCATATGAGCCCTGAAGCTGGTGAAAACATTTCTAATTCTTTGAGATACAATAAAATAAACTCCTTAAATTGTTTAACTTTCTTTAGTAAGTATCTCTGAAAAACAGTATTATATCTCTTTAAAATAAAACAGTAAACACTAGGAAATCTTCACCAATAATTCTTATTTATTTATTTATTTGATACAGAGTCTTGCTATACAGTTCAGACTCAGCGATCCTCCTTTTTCAGCCTCCCCAGGGCCGGGATTACAGGCGTGCAGCAAATCGCCCAGTTCCTTTTGATAAAGTGAACACATGTAACTGTTTTACGGCATAAAATAAACAAAGGTAGTAAGTAAAATCTGTACTTACATCACAGTTAAATCGTGAATATTATTCTTACAAAATATATGTAGAAAGTAGTTACAATACCAAGAAATCACAAATCTATAAATCATCACATTTGTGTGTATAAGCTTACACACATACACATGTGTGCACTTTTAAAACTTATCAAAAGTGCTTGCGTTGGCAGCGTGTAATTGTATCAATAAATTGAAAGCAGGTGTTCAGGCAACACATTTTACAACCTAAATAGTTTGGTAAAGGGACATGAAGATGGTCAACAGCAAGATGAAGAAAAACAAGGATAACATGAAATAAAGGATTGCTAACCACAGCATGAACGTCTATTAAAAACATAATAATAACTGGCAAAAAAAATAAGAGCTAAGAAAACATAGATAATAAAATTATGTAAAGATGTTCAAATTCACTGGAAACCAAAAAATTACAAACTAAAAGAGTTCTCAAAAATAAAAACAGTAATGTCCATTATTGGTTAAAAGTAACAACACACTAATAGTTAATAGACATACACTACAATGTGCCACTGCTAAGAATCTAGAGACATAGGTGAGGTGAAACATTATTTGTAATATTTTAAAAAACAAATCTTAAAAAAATAAACATGGCTAAATGAACTTTACCAGATTCCTAAAATGCAGCTCTTAAATGAATAAAGTAGAGCTATATATAATCACTTGAAAAGATCTCTAAAAACTGAAAAATCACGTTAAATGGTACAGCATTTAGTTAGAAACAAAAATAAAGTCTAAGTTTCTATATATATGTACTAATAGATACTAAGACAGACTGAGCTATTCCTAAAAAAAGGGAGTAAAAAGTTTTCACTTCAGTACTTTTAAAAAACATCAGAAGAGTACTCATGATTTGTGCAATTTAAAAAAGCAATTAAAGTTTAATTTTTTTTTAAAAGGACATAATAAGAAAGTCATACACTTACTCAATTTTTCACCCAGCATGTGAAGAATTTCTAGTACCAGCCAATGGATATCTAAATGAAGATGTAGTAAATGCCATGACGGTGGGAAAAGCTGTGAATGAAATCATCACCCATGACTAAGCATTCCTCAGAATATATGGGTATGTTTTATCATATTATAAAATTCTTCCATAAACAGAAGGATAAAGAATCAGTTAATCTAACATTTTTTAGCATATAACAAAATGCTCCATACATGGGGCTGGTGAGATGGCTCAGTGGTCTAAAGCACCTACTTAGAACAAGCTTAGCAAAGCACAGGGACCGCGGTTCAATCCCCCAGCACCACATGCCAGCCAGTCCCGCCCCCTGGTGGGCTGAGCTGGCCACACACACACACACACACACACACATAAATAAAATTTAAAAAAAAAAAAAATGCTCCATACAAACAAGGATAAATAACTATATAAACTACCACTATTCATAAAAGCGTCAGGAAAATCGTTACTTGTTCATTTGAGGAGTTTTTTGACTGAAAATACCTGAATTGACAGCAGAGTGTCTTGGCATCTGTTGGTTTAAGGTAGATGCACTCATCTACATAGGAAAGGTCTTTTCCAACCAAACTCCAATTTATAAGATCTTCAAGGTAGTAAAAACATCAATTTAAAAAAAACCACTTTCATGATTGTTTTAGAATTTAACTACAAGTATTTTTTAATGTAATGTTATTAAGAACTGCTATAAAATATTTTCAAGATAGAACAGACTATCATGTAGACATGCTGGTCTATAAAGTACATAGATATGCTTTAAGAAATGCAAGTTGAAAAAGGTGAGATTTATCATTTACTTCATACACTGTTACTCAAATCAAATTCTGTATGAATGACAAACTAGAATTTTCAACTACTGTGCTATATAGTAGTTATTAATAAACTTCCTCTACTCAACATTGAGCGTCACCACAAAAATAAATCAATGATAACTGTTCCATTAAAATACCAAGAAAAATGAGAGAAAGTACTTGCTTTATTAGATGTACAAACAAAATAAAATGCTAGACCAACCAAACAGTATTGGCACAGGAAGATAATAACAAAAACAGGAAAGAATAAGATAAATGTGGAATCTCAAACCAGTTAAGAAAGTATAGGTCATGTGCTAAAAGAAAGGCTTATCAAATTATCCATTCCCAAGAAATTAAGAGATTTTCCACCTCACTGCTTATTTAAAACAGAAAAATTAAAGAGATAAATATAAAAATAAAGGCACTTTTAGTAGCATAAAGGATGTAACATTAAAAAAAATCAAGTACAACCACATGTAAAACAAATCATTTACTCTGGACGTCACCTTAACTGGTAAACAGAAATCTGAAGGAAAATATTTGTAATATGTAATATCTAACAAACAATAAATCTAACAAAATAAATTTCTAAACAATAGCTCAACTGAAAATAATGACTAAACATTGTAATATACTTTACTTTTTCGAACTTAGTACAGGGACTACAGGGTATCATTACATAGATCCAACTGGCAGTGATTCTCCTGTTTTCAGCTTTCCAAGTGCTGGGATCACAAGCACACGCCATCATGACCAACCTCAATTGCTTTCTCAGTGCCCCAGGGGCGGGGTCAGCAGGGCATGCCTGGCACTGAATCCCTGCTGCTGCGCTCTGTGCTTTAGTCTGCTGAGCTATCTGGCCAGCCCTTAGTAATATACTTTAAAAGATGTTTTGTATTTTTAAAGGCTTTTTGTTTCAGACAATTGTATATTTTGGTGTATACTTTTGTTGCTTAGTTGCTGAAGTTCCCCTATCTCAAAAATCCAGTCTTCTGAGCTTCAAACAACCTATTTTTTCAAGCCTGTATAAGTAAAAAGCCTAAGAAACTCAACCTATTATATGACCTATTATAGGGTCAGCAAGATAGTTCAGCGATCGAAAGCACCTGCTTACGTAAGCTTAGGAGGGCACAGGAGACCGTGGTTCCATTCCCAGCATGTGCCACGCCAGCCCTGCCCTCAGGGTGGACTGAGTTGGTCAAAAAAAAATCAAAGCTATTATATATAACACATGTATTTCTGCTGCTAAAGTAATTTTCATTTTGTTATGCTTTTTAGCCCCCAAAATATAACCAGTCCAATATACAGAAACTAAAAGAAAAAAATATCCTCCCACTATTTACCCATAAATCTTTGTTAAATAACATAATTAAAAGTAACTATTTACTTGTTCCATACATTACACTAATACCCATGGGAATTATTTTATCACACAAAATTATTGTTTTGGTTAACTTTCACAGAAACATATAAACAATTATATCTTACATGTTGGTAAACATATGCTTCTAAAAACTTAATGCTTTTTAGATGGCTAAAGTCTACTATAACAAAGGAGTTCAGAGTTCAGGGAATCTGATTGCGAATTATCTTAATTTGTTATTCACATGCTCCCATTTTCACATATAGGACTTGTTATTTGTAAGTTCGGCACTAACAATATCCAAAAAGGTTTCAAAAATAACATAAATCATGATGTAGTTTTAAAAGTATTTTTTGTAAGTTGAAATCTTACTATAAAGGTTTCAAATTTTATCATAAAGACTACAAATCTTGACTCTTACTATAATATATAAATGGTGACTTCACTAAACTTTTACAATAAGAGGATCCAACTTCTAGAAATAGAAGTTACTTCATCAGTAGCTCTGAAACATTTACACTGTGATATCTACAAAGTAAATACTATTGATTTAGATGTATCGTCTTCACTCCTTCAGCTATATTACTTTAATTCTTCCAATACCTCTAGGAAGTTACAGAGTGTACAGGTAGGGAGGAGGAGGCAAGAGACATTATTTGCCCTTTTTATTAAGAGAGGGCCAGAACTACAGCTTAGGCAGTGTCTGGTGCCACAGTACCTCTTGACTGATTTTTCTTATTCTTAAATAAATATTCCTGTGAGGAGAAAAAGTAGAAAATTTACAAATTAAGTGAAATAGACCTTATTCTAAGGGCCAGGGAGATGGCTCAGTAGAATAAGTGCTTCCCTGGCAAGCACAAGGACCTGAGTTCAATCCCCGGTTCCACAAAAAAAAAATAAATAAATAAAAAGAAAGAAAGAAATAGACCTTATTCTGATTTTGGTTTACAAATGCTCCCAGGTTAATACTGGAAAATTCATGTAGACGTCCAATATACAAAAGTAAGCCATGAAGTTCATCAACCAGCACTGAGGGAAGCTGAGCCTCCAAAGTCTCGTAGGGATGGACAGCAATGTGACTCTCGGCATCTTGTATTTTCAGGCATCTAAAAAGCAAACAGATACAATAAACAACCACAGTCTTAATAGGCAGACCCATAGAAATTCATACAATTATCAAAATACTCCTCTGTCATCTTACCTGAAGACGAAGACCTTAATATAATGGAGAAACACTACACATTGCTGCCTAATACTGTTTGCTTTGCAGTGTAGGGTTGATATCTTCCCTGAAATCAAAATAGACAACATTAGTCATAGCTCAAATAATTATCAGTAGATAGTAAGTAAAAATTTTATAGGCCACATCAGCAATACTCTCATACTTTTTCCATTGTTTCCCATGTAATACTTGCACCCCACCACCCCTCCAAACTGACCCTTAGTATAGTCACCAGTGCTGTTACACAATCTAGCAAGTAGGACCTAGCCTCAAGTAACTTGCCTTGAAAGCAACACTGGCTACAATGTCATTTCTCATGTGTTCTGTCTCCCTATCTTTACCTGCTCTTCCTCAATTTGTTCAAATTTTTATTTGTTTTGCTTTTGGTTTTTGATGTTGATGAACCCAGTGTTTTGCACATACAGGCAAGCACACTATTTAGGAACGTGGGATTTCCTCAGGATCCAGGTATCCTCCCCTATGTACATCTCTTCCTACATGGATGATAGGTCATCATTTCCTTCACTATCAAGTCCAAATGGTTTCTATCTCGCCCCTTTGTGTTGTACCTCCAACCTCACATGCAAAACTGACAGAACGTTCAGCCTTTGATTGCTTCAAAGGCCAGTTCATTCAGTCTACATTTTCTCCACTTTGTTAAATGATACCACGAGTGGTCTATAATACGTTCTGTATTCTTCCATTTCCTTTAACCGCATATCTAATCAATGAATGTCCTATTAATTTTATAAACAAATGTATTTTGAAAATATGTACTTTCCCTACAATCAATTTATTAACAGGAAACTTGAGGGGTCCTACCACAAGACCCTCCCTATAATTTAAGTAAAATCTGCTTAACATGTATACGAGCTTCTGGAGCTTCTGTTCTTCCAAATTCAAATGCCAAAAACCATTTTTATTCTATACTTACAATAAAATACAAACTATTTATAAAGCCCCAAATGATCTTTGATTATTTCTTGGTCTTCTCCTAGTCTCTTTATGCTATCTTTCCCTTACTTAAGTTTACATCATCAACAATATATGTGTAAAATGCTGATAATAAAAGTACCAATCATTAAACGAAAGCAGAGAAAACAAAATTATAGGCACAAACTCTCATCTATATTAAACATATACTAAAAGGCAGATTTGCAAAAGCCCTAATGAAAGTGTAAATCAAGCCCCTAAAAGAGCCAGTGGCAGCTGTTGTGGAACACCCCCAGCACTCTGGGATGCTGAGAGAGAAAAGGCAAGTTCATGACCAACCTGAGCAATTTAGCAAGATTTAGTCTCAAAAAATAAAAATTGTGTCAACATAAAGTCTATGTTAATCATCCAATAAAACATTACTAGTAAAAGAAACAGTAGAGCGTATCACAGAACTAGAGGAAAACCAGTAAGTACAAAAAAACCTAAAAATGACACTGATGAAATAATCAGTAATCAGCTAAACTATAAACAGCAATTAGATAAATACAAATATTTTAAATAAAAAGAAACTTAAGGATATGTTACCATTTGTGTCTAAATGTCTCCCGAGAGCCTCATGCAGTCATGGGGCAGGCTTCTAGAGTTTATGATTAAATCATGATCCAGTGCTGGGATTATGGGGTGAGTGCTGCTACGATTATGGGTGTCAGTGCTACACAGCCTAAATGCGATATAAGGAAGGGAAAGAGCCTTGCTTTCTACCACTGCTTCTCCCTTTTTGCTCTGTTTTCTACCACCATGAACTGTTGCCCTCTGCTATGTGCCACTCTGCCTTGGAGCCAGCTGAATATGGATAGAAATCTCCACAAACTGTGAACCTTTCTTTTCCTTCCTTAATATTGAGTGCTAGGTATTTTGTCCCAGCAACCAGAGAAAAGTAAGTGAGACAGGACAGAAATGAAAAGTATAAAAGAAATTCAGATGGAATATTTACCCCCCCCACTACCACACAAATACAATTTCTAGGAACAGCAAGAAATAAATTCAAGGATATCAACAGAATATGCATTATATTGATATTATGCATATTATGCAATTATTAGGGAACAACCTAGGAACATATAGAGTAGAACAGGAACTATATGCGCTTGACAGTAGGCAATCCCACACAAGAACTTTTTCAGAAGGTTTGAGGGCCATGGCTAGCTACAAATATGTTAACAAAGTTGTGACATGACCACACTGCAAGAACAGGATACTTTACAGGTTATCTTGATACACTTCATGCTGTCATTAAAATGTTTTCAGGCAACAAAAGTAGCCAAAATGTTAATGCAACAAAAAATGTTAATAAATAGTTATCGAAGATTATCCGTGCAGGATTGCTCCTAGATCCTCCATGACTATCAAAATATGTGGATGCATAAATTCCTCATATAAAATACTGTAGTATACCTTCCCATCCCTGCAGATGAGGAACCTGAAGATATAGAGTGCCAACCATAGTGGGTTCTGGTTAGAGTTTCAAAAAAGTGTTGTAACACTAAATGTATTCCATAAGCCTGACTTAAGGCATTTTAAATAGTAAAGGGTTTTTTGTTTTTTCCACTATAACCGAACTTTTTTCTGTGTGTATACGCAGGTATGCATGGTATATATGCATGTGTATGGTGATGGGGTTTGAACCCAGGGCCACTGTACTGAACTACATCACCAGCCCTTTGTTTACTTTTTGTTTCTTATACAGGGTCTTGCTATGCCCAATTTAAGCTTGGACTTGCGATCTTTCTACTTCATCCTCCTAGACTGTTGCAATTACGGGCATGCACCTCCAGCCTGGCTTACACTATAAGCTTTTAGAGATTTCTCAGGCGTTCCAAAATAAACTCAGACTCTGTGGCAAAATTTACAAAGCCAACTGTGATTTCATCCCTTCTAAACTTCATTGCTGTCATTATACACACATTATTTGTCACTCCATGCTCCTTAGTCATTTATATTTTACACACCTCAATGTCTTTTTATATATATTTCATATGTATAATATATATTATATATACAAATGTATAATATATATACATATATATATATATTTTATGCGAGCACCTGTTGCTGTCCCATAACCTTTCTCCAAATCTTTTCCTTCCCATCCTTGAAAAACCAGATATAGCACCATTTAGTGACAGACACATACCACAGATAAAACCATAGTCTTCATAGCTAAAAGACAGACTTTTGGCGTGTTTTGTATGTGTGTGACACATAATGCATCACAAAGATTTGTATGTCTCTGTTATTATAATTTGTCATTTACCATGCTGTGCTATACTTGAGTGTAAACTCTGAAGCATGTTTTCCCTCGCCATTTCACTAGCACCTGCCATACTTTCTGGCATAAAACAGGTACTTATTAGATAATGAAACAATAGTAAATACATAACACTTACTGAAGACTGTAAAAACAAGACAAAACCAAAACAAACTTTACAACCCTCAGCTAATAGCTAAGCTTCAATGTTCCTTAGATAACAAAGCCTCAATGCTGTAATTTTCATAAAATATTTTATCAACTAGATAGGTATTTTTTAATTATGGTGACACAAGACAAAAAAATTAATCATGTCTGAACACAAGGCACTATGCATTACATGCACAGAAACACTTCAAGAAAAAAAAAAAAGTCCCTTTTCTAGCTGTGAGGACTATTATTTCTTTACTAAACACACACCTGAACCTCCCTTTATTTATTCTGCCTCCAAGGTAAAAATTAAATTACCTGGACATCATCAAATTGCCTCTTTCTAAATAGCATCCAGTTCAGAATAAAGCTGTATCTCCCTTAAGCCTTAACCAAAATGAGCTGCATAAATTCAAATAGTACCACAAATGCTCTTCTACTCTCCCTTACTAAGAAACCTCAACAGGTCCATGTCATATTCTCTTTGCTTTGTTAAGTTAATTAACCTGTTTGACCAAAAATATGTTCCAGGTGATTTGTGGCCATTACTTATAACATATACTGGGCTAAGCACTTAACATCCAATCTGGCATTTAGTCCTCACAAAAATTCAATGAGGTAGGAAATAATGCTTGATGTGAGACCTACAATTGTGGAGCTGGAGCTATTACCCTATATTCTACACTGCACTGAAATTTCTAAAAAGCAACAGTAGTCTACAATAAGACACAATGCTTTTCAATGTCTTTCTCTACCTCAACTATACCAATGCCCTAAGGTTAATAATCCATTAATGTTAAAAGAAACAGGGGCTGGGGAGTTAGGTCAGTAGAATAAGCACTTGCTTGGCAAGTGCAAGGGCCTGAGTTTAGTCCTCAGTTCCACAAAATAAAAATTTAATAATAAAAAAAAAGCTAAAAGAAACAAAAATGCAGAAAGCATAAAAGATCAAGAAAGTATCATGAGATGTGACTTTTAATTTACATACTACATTACAATGTCCACTTCTAAAACAAGTATCAATTTGCAACTGAGAAGTTTAGTCAGTTAAGGCCTCACATATTTGAAAAAAACATGATAAATTTCAGCTATAACAAAATTTGAAGCTCATAGTTTTTCTGACCACTAACTACAATGAATTGTAAGCCTGGTTTTGTTTGAGATAGGGTTTTGCATTTTTTTTTACCAAAATTAGGCCTTGAACTTTTAGGCTCATGTGATCTTCCTGCTTTAGATTCTCAAGGAGATAAGATTATAAGCATGGACTTTTCTGACCTAACACTTCCATCTTATTAGTATTATATTCTAATTATACTATCATGGACCACGTGCAATTCGTTGTAATGGATTTACATTCCTTTTTTCCCATTAAACGCTTTAAACTTACCAAAATCACAGCTGACTTGTAACAAGGACTCCAAATTATATAGCTGTTGCCTAATTTAAAAAAATGTAAGATGAGAGTTAACTTTAGTATATTTTAAAGCATGTTAGCAATTACATGGAGGATTCCAAGCTTACTACACTCTAAACAGTCTGAGATACTGTTTATGTTTTTAGGAAGTTTAAGATAAGTAAAACATCCTCAGGTAAGAGTTAAATAAAGAAATATTCTATTCTGTTAGTTATACAGTGCTTCACAAAAGGAACAGAATTATGTAGACTAGACATATTATGCAAAGCTATCGCAATTCTGATAATAATCTTTTCATCACTCTTCCAAACTGCCTTCAAAGTCTTAAAGATTGTCCCATATTTATTTATGTCTGATGTCCTGGACAGACTCATTAACTAGAATGTTCAAGAGAATCATTCAGTCGGTTCTCCCAATAAAATATAGCACAGATACAGCAATGTCTGTATAAGATTTCATGTGACAAGGGTGGTAGAATACCTAAAATCTCTCCATTTTCATTTATTTGTATTACAAATATATTTTTAATGTGTTTTTGGATATTTTCCCTTAACAACTGATTGTGATTCAAAATGATCTAAAATCTGAAATGAGGACCATTATTAAATAATAAAGAACTAATGTAACATTGCTAACTGTGCTAATGACATTTTTTTCTTTAAAAAAACCCCATATTTTAAAGATATATATTGTAAAGTAAGGGTGAAATGACACGGTTCCTGGTATTTATAAAATACTAAATGCAATAGAACAGGGACAGGACATGAAAAAATGTGAGAAAACCTTGACGCTTACTGTAATCAGTCTTTACAATACTATCATTTTTGTGGACACTTGAAATTTTTCATTGAAGTATTTTCTAAAATTTTGCCCACGAAGAGATTTAATCATATTTTTATCACATATATTTTAACCAAATATATCTTAAAAGGAAATCTGAGCTTATCTTTTAAAGATCATTGGAAGACTATAGCTATTGGGCAACAACAACATTTTAACTTTCTTCCAAAATTACAGTTGAAAATCTCAAGTACCAGTGTTCAATACTTAGTGTCAAATATAAATTATAAAGGTTATGAAAATCAACAAATAGTAACCTATTAGAATCATTACTCTATCAGTCATTACTGCTTGTGTTTATTATTGTTACTGGTCATATAAGCAAATGAACAAACACAAGTTCACTAGTCCTTTTCTAATCAGTTATTAGAAAGTGCTCAGCAAGGTAACTTACAAAGCTGAACGCTTATATTCAGTTAAAAAAACATATTCACATACCTGAATAAATGAAAAAGCTCTCTAGATGAATTCACTAATGCTGTTTCAGTAACCCATTCAATGCCAAATATTTCTACTGTATCCTCTTCAAAATTAGTTGGTAAAGGATCAAGATTCAAAACTAACCTGAAATGAAAATACTGATTTAATCTCATAAAATATTTAGGTATTATAAAACAGCATATCATTTTCTACAATATTTGAATCTATATCATACATGACATACTAATAAATCAGAAAATACTTAAGTAATTTATTTATGACTAGTATGGTCAGAGTGTATTAAAATTTCATTCATACATAATGTAGCTCCGGAGAAGTGGGCTTCAGCTCCAGGACTATATTCTTTAATGGGACATCTAATATCTCCTAACAGCTAAATATTCTCAGTTATGCTTAATGACTTGTATAAACAAGTTGGGAAATCTCTTTAAAGTTGTCTAACAAAATAAAACTACAAAATCAACAAAAATGATATCATTCCTCACTATAATTGCCTCAGTAGGTATTAGCAAAACGTTAAGAACAGTAGTTTTACTGCAGTATACCTGACTGATGCAAAAATAAGTCTATGACTTTTATATACAGATACAAAGTTAAAAAGAATGGGTAATAAAAAATTTAAGTATGACTACTTAAAAATGACTGAGAATGTCTGGAGTATTATAATAGTTTTGGAGTATTAAAAGCTCTGGAGTACTATATAATTATTAATAGTACTGTAATATTAAAATGGAAATATTTTAAAAGGCCCAATTAGTTTAATTTCTCTTAGTGTCCAACTCCCTCAGATTAATTTAGCATCGGGTACTAAGTTCTTTTTAATACTCAAAATATTTATAGGTACACTCCAACCAGAAAATCAACAGAACTAATCATAAATTTTATTTTTATGATATAATGTGTCGATTTACAAAACCTGGCTTGGTGAACACCAAAGTTTAATAAACAGAAACGGTTTTTACTCTGAAACTGATGAATAATCAGATGGGGGGAAAAAACCTACCGCTTAAGAGCGCCACTGGCAAGGTAGGACTCTCCAGAAAATTTTTTGCCTCCTCTGTTGTCAAAAGCACAAGAAAAGCACGGGGGCTTGCACCATTCTGTCTTCAGCTCCAGCTCTAAACTGTCGGTCAGAAACGTCGATCCAACAGAACAGTCGTTCATTATTTACTTCATGTCCTGAAATATTTGTGGGTCGTTATGATTACCATTAAGACTCCAAGAAGAAGCTGCAAAGGGATTCCTGGAAGTGGAACAGGCCAGAAGAACTAACTCAGAAAGTTCCCAGATGTCCCTCCTGCACCCAAGAAAATCTGAGGGTGAGACTGGAGGGGAATCCTCCAGCTCGCCCTCCCAGGGTCCCGCCAGACCCACCGCAGATCAAGGCTGTCACAACGTCCACAAAATGCGCCCCCTATTGGCTGTGGCAGAGCCTAAAATCTGCCCCCTGGACGACTCCGCAGCCGGGTCAGGAAGCAAGACAAAGAAACTTTTGCAAGACGGACCCGGCTTCAACTCCTTAGCCCGCCGAGAACCGCGCCCTCCCTCCGTCTGGGAACCGCTCGGAAAGGCGGTGAGAGCTCCCTGGCAGATCCGGCCCGGGCGCCCAACCCCAGTCCCAGCCAAGGACGAGCCCACCCGCAGCACTCGGGCGGAGGGTGAGGGAAGCCGGTGTCTTCTCGCAAGGCTATCGCCTGGGCCGTGGGGCGCCCCTTGCCCGCGCTACGCGTCTCACCTGCTTGCACATCCAGTCCCGAGATCTGAGTCCTCAGACCAGTACTGCCCCGGAGCCCGCGAGTCCAAAACCGGAAGCAAGCGAAATTCCCGCCAAGCAGCGCCCGCGCGCTGGAAGGCGGGACCACTCCGCGCCCCGCCCCCTGGCTGCCTGAACTCTCGCGCAGTCTTAGCTGAAACGAGTGGCGCTTCTCGAGTTCTCGCGAGAGCTCCCCGACCAGGAAGAGGTACACAACTACAGCTTTTCTTTTTCTTGACCTTTTTAATTGGTGCTTAGGTTGCAAGGTGTGGCAAGGTTGGAAAAGGAAAGTAGTAAGTGAAGCGGCGGCAAGAACAGTGCAGGTACCGCTGGGTTTACTGACTGACCGGCTTGAGCAGTCTGTTTCTCGAATGAAAGCGAAGCATCGTCTGTCATAACCTCCGGCGGTCCACGCCCTCTTTGTGCTCGGGGAGGTGCACGTCTTTTGTTTAGGGCTGGACCTTGCCTAGCGCTCAAAGATCCCCTGAGGCTGTGACTCCTGGAGGGAAGTTATCTCGTGTTTGGAAACTGTCAGGTGGCCCTTGCATTAGGTCTAAAAGCTGTTGCCCCCTATCCTTGCACACGTCTGGTCAAGGTTAGCATTTTTTTTTTTTTTTTAACGGTAACAAAGTTTTTTTAAAGGTGGGAAAAGATCCAGGCTCTGAAAAGCGAGTTTGGGCCAAGGAAGAGTATAAAAAAAGTACATCCTAGAGCGTGAGAGTGGGTCGCCATCCAAGAGAACACAGTGGCAAGGATAGCACTTTTGTAAACATACATAGTTCATTTGTAGCGTTTTGCTCATCTTTTTACATCATACCTTAAAACTGACTCTTCAGAAGGCTTTTCACTGTAGCTCAGGTAACACATTGCGGTATTTACCAATTTGAGATTTAAGGAAAAACACAAAATTTCTAATTCAAATGCCTTTTATAATCTGAGTATTTGGCATTGCCCCATTCCTCTACAGTACAAATTGTCTTGTGTTCAATTCCAGCAGAGGGAACCTATCATAACTCTCCTCTGTTTAAATCAAATGCAACACATTTTCTGCTAAATGGGATGAAGTGAGAAAAAACACAATATGATCTCTCTACCACAGTTTAAGGCAACTGCCGCGGGTGTTAGATTTGTTCTGCTGAGCTGAACTCCAGGACTCCAATAATCCTCCTGTTTCAGCCTCTGGAATAGCTGGAATTATAGGAAATCACCACCACAGGTAGCAGTTAACGACTTTAGAAAGTTCAGCACTTTTTAATTAATGAAAAGGTGGACTGAAAATTCATTATAAAAGACCTGACTGGTACTACCATCCAGTTTAACTTAATTGCCATTCATGTGGCTCAATCCGCCAAAAGCAGAATTCACATGCTTGGTATATACACGTGGCACATTCATGAGGATGGGCCATATTCTGAGCCATAAAGGTCAAAATCACCACTTTTGAAGACCAGAGCTATAGTTCAGTGATAGTGCACTTATGTAGCTTGTGCAAGACCAGAGGCTCAATGAAACCACAGCTCCATACAAAATAATAAAAGCATTGAAAAAAAATTACAAAGTATATTGGCTGGCCACAAGGGAATTTAAAGTTCCTTAAACTGAAAAATGAGGAAAAGTTTAACTCAATAATTTAAGCATCTGTTCTAATGGTGTTTGTAAATAGGATCACAAGTCCACTTCTTGTACAGCAATTAACCACTAAGAAGAATATATGCAGTGTATTATTTGTTGAAACTGTACTTCCGATTTGATTTGAAACTGCCTCATTGCTATCTGTTTATCAATAAAACTTTGAAAAAAAATAATTTAAGCATCTGTTTTAAACACTAGGAAAAAAACAAATTAAAATTAAATTCAACAAATAATAAATAGAATGAAACAATGAAAATCAATGAAACAGAAAATTATTTGAAGAGAACAACAAAATCCTCTACGAAGGCTGATAAAACAAATTGCCAATATTAGGTATTAAGTATTATCACTTCAGATTTTATAGACATTAAAAGAGTGAGGAACTTTAGAAACTATTATGAACATTTTTATACCAATGAACAAAGTTAAAATGGACAAAATTCCTTCAAAAGACAAACTATCGACACAAAAGAAGCAGATAATAAATAAATCTATATTTGGTTAAATATCTCCCCCCCCATACACTATACACTTTAGAACTCCAGAACTGAATAATAGCTTTACTGCTGAATTCTCCCAGCTGTTTAACAAAAGAATAATACCAGAGCTTTATTTACTCTACCAGAAAGTAGAATTGACTGTTTTAAAACTCATTTTATGAGGCTGCCATTACATTGATAGCAAAATCTGACAAAGACAAAAAAAAAATTGCAAATCAATATCACACACCAACAAAAAGACAGAAATTTTTGCAAATAAAATTTAGCAGTCATATAAATAATATAAAATTATGTTTATTTTAGGAATGCAAAGTAACTTTAAATTTCAAAAGCAATGAATACTTCACTATCAACAAACAATAACAAAAAACCAAATCATTATTACAAGCAATGGAGAAAAACTTTAAAGACATCTCCTTTTATTACTTTTAACTTTTTTTTAATTGGCTGTAACTAGCCAATACAATAATAAGGTATAAGAAAGAATAAAAGTCAGATATATTGGAAAGAAATAAAAATATTTTCATTTTTAGATGACATGAGTCATCTAGATGATTCTACAAGGCTGAGGAGGCTGAAACAGGAGGATCACTGTGAGCTCAAGGCCAGCCTGAATTGGATATTGAGACCCTGTCTCAAAAAGACAAAAACAAACAAAAAGCTGACACCAATGATGTGGGGATATAGAGATAATATTTTGAAATAAATGCTGGAATATGTGAATGTGAATTTATGACAAATAGAGGAAAGATGATGTAGAAGAGAAGGAAATGATTAGAAGAATATATTGAGAAGACGGGATAGTACTTGCTATAGATGGTATATCATCAGGCCCTGATAGGATCAAGGACAATTTTTCATTGTGATAGGAAGAGTAAAATATAATGCAAATAAACATGAAGTTCTTAAAACAGATGGTAGAAAGTCAAATTAGTTCTTGTTTTACTTGATTTATTTTCCCTATGAGAGGTCAACCATAAGAAGGAAGAGTATCCATTAAAGATTGAAGGAAAGATAAAGTGTGATGTGATATTGGTGAGTACAGAAGTATGTTTACTAGGGAAGTATGGTTAAAATTCATTCAACATGACTTATTTTCTTCAGTGACATTAAACTACTTGATAAAGGAGGTGAGAGTATATGATAGAATTTCAGTGTTATATTATTACTATTGAGCTCATTCTAACTTGTTACAGGGTCTCACTATGTAGCTCAGACTCATAGTGATCCTCCTGTTTTCAGCCTCCCCAATGCTGGGATTACAGGCATGGGCCACCACATCCGGCCAGCTCAGCATTCTTGGGGGTAGGGTTGGAGTGGCCTGTGGTGCCAGGGACCAAACCCTAGTCCCTGTACTAAGCAGGTGCTTAGTCCTCTGAGCTATCTTTCCAGCCCTTTTTCTTATATTTTTAAGTAGCAGGGAAACTTCTGCAGATTCAACTGAAATACTATATTCCAACAGTTGAAAGGTCACAGTTCTGGAAAGTTTATCACTTTTAATTAAATCTTATTTAAAGTTTAAATCCATTCCTTCTATCCCTTAAATAAAAGAGGAGGGTTATTTTACCACATTGTAATAACAACTCCTAAGGCTAGAATTGGATTCAGCATGTTAGTAAAATCTGGCTAAAATTAAGTCAAGTTGTAATGATCTTACTATACAAATGGCCACCACTAAAGATACACTGAAACAGATAAACTGAGCTATGGCTTTTAGTCTTGCATTACTAGAAAATATTTGTTTATTTCTATAACCTATCTAACTCACCTTTAGCTCACTTTCTAACCACACTATTTTATTACACTAATTTTGTATGGTAACAATAATCTCTTAATCTCCAAATGCTACTTTTTGGCATAGATGGATGCTCATGGCCTAAACAATTTTAGTAGCAAGTAAAAGTTTTCATTATTAGAAAAAGTATATCTTTCCTAATAATGAAAAAGTATTCTCATTTTATTTTTCAGAAGTCATTAATAATCTAATATATCACATTGACCCTTGAATAAACCTGAGAAAAAATTTACTATTGATTCTCACTCGCTTTTTCTGTGATTTTATCATTTTCTCTCCTGCAAGCCTTTGTATTCCATCTTACACCAGTGTGAGCTTGAAAGTCATTTATCCCTCTACCTTTTACCTTAAACATCTCCATCTCTGGTGTTCTTATTTAACAGGCATTTTCTAATAGGTCTCTAAGTAATATTTGCTGCCTGGTAATCGTGCCTTTATGTACTCTCCCCTTGAATGTGCTTGAATCTAATGACTTGTTTCTAATGAAGAGTTTTTAATAAGTGAAGAGATAGCATTTCCATGATAAAGTTACAAAGGAATGTGAGTTACGTTTTATTATGAACATTCCGTCACTCGTGTTTCCTTGACTTCTTCAGTGTGAGGAGGTAAACTACCACTTAGGCCTAGATGGCAAAAATTGACAGTAGACTGTGGCCAATAGTCAGTGAATGTGTTACTGTCAATTTGATAGTAATTGATTGTATGACATTAATTGATTGTATCAATTTGAGTAAGAAACCAATTATTTTGATTAGCATAGTTCTGGATGTGGCTGAAGGGATTTATTGAAGACAGAAGACCCATCCTTCATGTGAGTTGCACCAACCAATAGGCTTGTACCCTGGCTGGAATAAAAAGAAGAATGAAGAAGGAAGCTTTTTTCTTCTTTTTCAAAAGAGCCCTACCCTCCCTCTTCACATGGATGTTGTCTCCTGGCTTCCAGCACAGACCCTCCAGCCTATCATGACTGACCCTTTGGCTTCCTGATGCAAACTTGTGTGGAACATAACAGTGAACTCCAGCCTCAGCCTCTGACTGATCCTTTGGATCTCTAGTGCACAAACAGCCCTTCTGCACTCTTCCACTTGACTCTGTGAGCAGCCATTATTAAGCCTCCCTTGTAAACCCTTATATATTT